AATTTTAAGAGAAAAGTAAAGCTTTTTGATTATTCAAAGATTAACACCTATCCCCGTACTCGTTCAAACCTAATAATTAATTGTTTTTGTACCCTGTGCTCCATTGCAAAAACAAATTTAAACAGCACAGCCAGATATTCACTTAAAAAACGAGTTGGGCGGCCTTCAATAAACAAACTGTCTCTCAGGAAAAAAAATACCAATATTCAAATCTGTAAAAATTGCTTTGTTACTGTAAAAAAGGAAAATCTCATGATTGCCGCAAGAGCTTACGAACACAAAATTTTGCACAACTTGCTAGTTTATCAAATTCTCCAAAATTTAAAGAAAAATTTGTTTCAACTATCATTAAGGAAAAAGTTGAAAATAGTGTTCCCAACTCATATGTTCAATTGGAAACTGGAAATAAGGGAAAATTGAACATTATTGCATCAAATAAAAAAGTCCCAACTGTTCAAAACAATGCTGTAACTATAGAAGATATCTCAGAAATGCAAAGAACTTTAAACCTAAGTACAAACAATACAATTAAATTAGCGTCTTGTTTACAGAAATTAAAATCAAAAACTAATAAAAAAATAACTGAGAGCTATGTAAAGACAAAATTACAAGAAAAGAGGCATGTATTAGATACATTATTTGACAAGATGACGGCAGAATTAGAAAATGGTCAAGAAAACAAGCACGAATTTGTTCAGAGAGACATTATTTTTTGTAAAGATATTTTGGCGTTTTTGGATTTTATTGTTCAGAAAAGAAACCTAAAACAAAAAAATGTTGAACTCTTAAAAATTGGCCTCGATGGAGGAGGTGGCTTTTTTAAAGTATGTCTGAATATTCAGACAAAAGAAACTACTAACCGTGGGGACCTTAAAGACTCTGGAGTAAAAAAACTTTTTATTTTGGCCATTGTTAAAAACATCAAAGAAAACTATTTTAATGTTTTATATATTTGGAAACTGCTAAAAATTGATGAACTAGGAAGTTACAGTATTTTAACAGATTTAAAATTGGCAAATATTTTGATGGGCCTGATGTCTCACAGCTCCGCCTTTCCTTGTACATGGTGTCAATCCAATGCACAAAACCTAAACAATGAGGGAGATTTGCGCACGTTCGAGAACATCCGAAACCAATATTTGAGATGGACGGCAAGTGGAAACAGCCTGAAGAAAGCAAAGCATTTTTTTAATTGCATTCATGAACCTATACCTTAAAAATTAGAAGAACCTGTGATCTTGGTGATACCCCCACCTGAATTGCACTTACTCTTGGGTAATTACTATTTGTCCCGCTTATTTATTTACTTTTTTATACTTTAATAGGTTACTAGGTGCAGTTTAAAATGTTTTTCTATCCCTCACAATTTTTGTTTTTTAGGCACCGTAAATACCTTATATTCCAGTCTTTTTAAACTTGTTCCAGACATTTGCAATCAATGGATAAATTTTTGTCACGTTGAAAGAGAAGGAATGCATGGAGGGTCCTTTACAGGAAATTCCTGTAAAAAATTATTGAATAATTTGGAATATCTAGAGAATAATTTACCTTTGAATTTGGTTAAATATGTTACTTGCTTTGAAGATTTTAAAGAAGTTACAAAAAGCGCTTTTAAAGTGAATTTGTGTCCTGATTATAAAGAGAAACTGGATAATTTTAAAGTATCATTCAATAAATTGGGTATTAAGCCAACTCCTAAAATACATACCGTATTTTTTCACGTTAAGGAATTTTGTCAAAGAACAAACAAAGGTTTGGGATTTTATAGTGAACAGGCCAGCGAATCAGTTCATTCTGATTTCACTATAGTATGGAATAGGTTCAAAGTGCATGAAAATAACCATAATTTTTCAAAGAAATTATTAGAAGCTGTTACTTTCTATAACAGTAGTCATATTTAAAATAAAATTAGGATTTTCTTAGGTTTTATTGTTAAATTCAATATTTTGTTAATAAAATAAAAAATAATCGTTGAAAAATTTTGATTTAATTTTTTATTATCATAAAAATGATAAAAAAATTGTTTAGAACAAAAAATAAGTTTGGACAATTTTTTCGGCAATTTTCATTTTTTGGCGAACCGTGACTATGGCCCGTGTTTGACCTCAATGAAAATTTTATAAAAGCAGTTTTTTCAGAATTTATTAATAAGGTATTACCACTAAACCAGGTATCCAACATGGAGACTGCATTCGATAAACCATTTTGAAGGGACTGTTCTGTTTTACCTGAGTACATTAGAGTCGTATCGTCAGCAAACATGACAATCTGGCCAAGATTAATAAAGTTGGGAAGATCATTTATGTAAATTATAAATAGTAGGGGTCCAAAGACAGATCCTTGGGGTACACCTACATTGGAATACAAGTAATTGGATCTGCAGTTGTTGACAGTCCAAAATTAGTACTAATTTTAGACATACTAACAGCAGATATTAACATTGCATTATCATTTTAAATTTGAGAAAGATGAACTGAAATTGCTTTGCTGCGACTTCTTGACAATAAAATTGAGCCTTTTTTTCACTTGCTTCGTTATTTAATTTTTCCATTATTATATCACATGCCAAATGTTCTTTCTGTTTATGTTCTAACGAATTTTTAATAATTCAGTTTTATAACACATGTGTCGTTTACCTTGTCCGATAACTGTTAAGCACTCCACACATTTAGGGTTCGTAGGTTTGATTTTTTTCCTAAGCTTTTTATCATTAATTTAACTACATTTTATTTTTGAAAAATTAAACTCACTCTGATTTTTAACTGTAAAATGCACAAATGCATATAATTCACATCCACAAGATTTTCCAGAACTTGATCGAGTATTAGACATCATTATGTACTTTGAATTATCTGGCATTACAATAGTACCTATATGCATTACAAGATTTTTTTTATATAGCTATATAGCTTTCGTTTACAATTTGCACACAGCCTTTGGTAACCGTTCATCATTACTATTGTATGTAATATATTTATTTATTACTATTTCGGTTATTTCGAAAATAACTTTCTTCTTCGTTTTACAAAATAAACATAACTTTAAACGACACTCACTATGTGAAAGCACTTGCTTACGAGTTAAATTTATTGGTTTCATTATTAATATTTTATTAAACTTTAATAAATAACTAACTTTTGACGTCTCAAAACACACTTAGATCGAGAGAAAACAGGCGCCTGTGATTATTGTAACTTTTTGAAATACGTCAAAACAGCTGTCAACATATTTATTTTAAAATGAATAAACTAGTAAAAAATTGCTCTTTTTTGGCGTAGTGAGTGTATCTAACCCCTTAAATAATGTTCTTATATTTAATAAGGCGAAAAAAAATGCGCTCAGGGAAATATTTTATTTTTTCATTAATTATTTATTGAAACGATGTAGAATCATTCCCTGTTTATAACTTTGGGGTAATCGAATGACCACTTTTCTGCAAAATAATCAAAAAGGGACCATTTTTACCGACTTTGAAGCGCTGTATCTTCGTTACTGTTCGTTTAATTTGTACAAAATTTTCAGGGTATACCTACTAACAAAAATACGGTCTTTAACAGCATATTTTTTATTTTTTTTTTAAAAATTACCCTAAAAGTTTTTTTTCGAACGTTTTTTCATTATTAAATAAAAGGGCTTTAAAAATATTTTCTCGAAAAACCCTCGAACACTTAAACTGATATATAAATTGAAGTATTTTTATCCAAAATTTCATTAAGAATAATAAAGGCGTTTTAGAGTTAGATTTTTTTTAAAGTGGTTGCAAAAATTATGGCCAACACTGTATATATATATATATATATATATTTATATATATATATATATTTATATATATATATATATTTATATATATATGAAGCTGATATTTTAAATAGACTTTCCTATCAATTAATAGCTTTTCAAAAATGTTTTTCTGACAAACTTAAAAATATGTAGTCAGTAAAGAATTTGCTAAAATTTATTATGGTTACAATTACTCATCCAGTAGAAGCTTTACCGAAATAATAATGTTTTCTTTACCTTACAATTCCTGTTAATAAACAAGTATTTAAGGAACTCTATGAGTCAAAATAGATTATCGTCTTTGGCAATGATCTCCATTGAAAATACAGTTGCCCGCTCCATAAATTTACATGGAATTATTACAAAATTTGCCGCTGCTAAATCTAGGAAAGTAGCTTTTTAATGGGCACACCTTTATTTTTTATGCCGGCTTATATTTTGTTTATAATGTATTGTTATAAATAGTTTTATTAGTTTTAGTTTATTTTTCCTATGTATATTATATAATAAAAGTTTATAGACAAGATATATGTAAATAGTCTTTAATTTTTTTCTTCACTATCAAAGCCGAAGATTTAAGGAGGTATAAAGGTTTTTGTGTCCCTCCCAAATATAACCTAAAAAATATTAACTAGTACAAAATAAAAAAAACATCTAGAGGCCCGTGGGTATAGGCTCGAACCCGGGCCCGTTGGGTTGTTGCTACGGCGCTGGTTGAGGCATAAAGTTTTGCTAGTTCTATAGAACTAGGAAATAAAATATTAGTATAATTTTTAGTTTTAAAAACAATTTATCAGTTTAATAAGGTAAACAACAACGGGTTGTTTAAAATTATAAATATAGATAAAAAATAAAATGTTTTTATTTTTTGCAATTAATTATTTATTTATCTTCGCATCTGTTTATTTATAAAAAAAGGGTGAAGAGGTTTGATAAAAATTTAATAATAACATAACTGTTTATTTGATAACGAAATATAGATATTATTTTATATTATCAATTAAATAAATAAAGTAACTATATTTATTTATATATTTATTTAGATACAATTTTTATCACTCAAAGAGTTTATTTATTACCTATAAAATCATTATCAACCATTTCAAGATGCTACTCAAATAAAATCAAATGAAAACGCTGAAGGATTTCATTCGTTTATAGTCGTATCCTGCCGCGTGTTTTTTCCAACAAATTACATTTCAAAACGTGCTGTATTCAGTCAGCGGTCATTCAACATGTGAATCGAAACTTGTTTATGTACACAGTGCAAGACTACAAAATGCCGAACTTGAAAGTATTTTTTTTCGTGATATTAAGTAATTTAGTGATTAACATTAGTTCTTCTTGCTCTGCAAACTCTTCATTGGATATAGATTATATGTACAAAAAAATTCGAACAGTGAACTGTGGCTGTGATGTTGCTCCCTGCTTTAGAAAATGTTGCAAAGAAGGTTTTCACCTGATAAAAAAATATTGCAAAAAAAACAATTCTACGAAACCATTTCAAGTACCTCTTTATAAAGATGGAAACACATTCCTTGAATATAAAACATTTAATAAATATAAGGCAGGAGTGATGAACTGCTCGTTTTATCTCATGCGTAAAAACGAAAAAGAAGATATTTTCCTGCAAAATGATTATAGATTGTATATCAGTCCTACTGGCACAACTTTTGAACCGGAATATTTTTGTATTGATCATTATGTGAATCAAAATTATAGTGGGCTAGCAGCATTGGTATGTTTTCCAGAGCCAAAGGAAAAAGTGGAGTTGAAAAGGGTAAAACAAATAGGTACTTATTTTTATAAAACTACGTATTTATGATACCTAATTAGGTTTTAATTAAGATTCTTTTACCTTATGATTTCCATATTAAATATTTACGATGTGAAATAACAAACATAAAATATAAAATTGAATAAATTTGCATTTATTTTACAAATAAACATCGGTCGCAACAAATTTGGTAAAAACCATAGTAGATATACCAATATACTTCTCCTATATAGTTGTTTATTTTATTCAAAATGTTAAAATCTAAACAGTAATTAAAGCATTATTTATAATTTAGTCAAATATTGTTAATGCAGTGCATTAAATGCACATATTTTTTATACAGAAATGATACAATAGAAATATTTTCAAATTTGTCATTTGTACATATATGTTGAATTTCTTAATAATTAAACCAAAAACCTGGCTTATTTTAACCTAAAAATGATAGTTGCAATGGATAAAGAACTCACGTCGTGACGTAACCATGTTTTTATTATTAATGTTTAACAAAACGCTAATAATTATTCCTAACGACATGTTTATTTTATGGTAAAAGTTCTTTATCGATGGCAACTGCCATCGATAAAGAACTGGTTAACCATGATTCTCGCATTAAATTTAGCATAATTTTCGGGCCAGTTATTAACAAAACCCAAACAGTGGCGTGCAGAACGGGCCCCGCAGGGCCCGCGGTGCGGGGGGGGGGGGCAACCTTAGGGGGGCCCCGTAGAGAACCACATTTGGTGGTATAAGTGACAAAGGGGCCCCAGCTCAAAATTTGCGGGGGGGGCCCGATCACCTTTGCACGCTACTGAACACAAATATATATGAACTATATATTTTTGAAACCAGAAGATCAAACTATATTTAAATAATTAAAAATATACATAATTAAAAAACAATGCCAATGTTATTTTATTAAATTTACCGATGCTTTTTTGTTTTTGAATTTGTTTAAATCATGAAAGCTGGATTTTAAGAGTATTTTTGCAAAATTGTATACAATGTATAACTAGATAAAAACAAACACTGTTTTTTGAGTTTCACGAATTTATTTAAATTTTATTTTGACAATTGTTCCGCTAACACAGTGGCTACTTTAGAAATGATTTCAAACTTTTTCTAATAACAAACAAGTTATTGCAGGTAATGTTTTTTTTTAACAAATTTTAGTACAGTATGACAATTTTACCTGTCGAAGTATAATTTAACAACAGTTGTAATAAACTAATTTTGGGGAATTTTATATAATATTAGAATAAATTTAACAGAGGGGATATATTTGTTTCTATTTGATCATTGAGGATACTATCAGATTTTTTTAATTTATTAATTTCTAATGATTCAAGTAGATTTAACTTCGTACCTTTATCTGCAACATGTAAAATTTTAAATTTATTGTTAAATGAATGGTTTCTTGAATTAAATGGTTGGCATAAGTTGAATCTGGTTTTTGATTTATAAAAGATTTTTTATGTTCATTAATTCTGGTTTTAAAATCCCTGCCAGTTTGGCCCATGAAATTGTATATGTTTGTTTGTTTTATTAGTGGCATTAAAAAAGCAGTTAAGATGTTTTTCAGACAAAAATTAGGCGTGCTGATAGAAATATTATTGATAGATATATTATTATGTTTTGTGTTTTTTTAAATAATAACACTTTATGGCAAATCCCCTTATAAAAAGAACTAAATTTACATATTATTTTAAGGGTACTATTTTTAGAAACAAAAAAATAGAATTTTTAAACTAATAATACAAAAAACGGAATATTTTTAAATAAACACGTTGGTAAACACACCTCAAAAACTATTAAAAACCGGACAAAGAACTAAAAATAATAACAAACAATTAACACATTTGGGATATAAATTTAAGATATTTTAAAATTTACCTTATTTAATAAAGTATCAATTTATCAATTAATAATTCAATTATTGTATTGGCGATAAAGGACGAGTCTCATTATAAATCCAATGACTTATGTCCTTTGTTATCTGATCCATTTGATTAATATTTACCTTTTTTGTTTTGTGCAAAAGCTTTGCAGCAAAGCATATATTATTGCCTTCAAACAATCAAGTTGTTTAAAAAAGTAATTTTTCTAATTCAAGAAAACATATTCTTAAAACATATTAACTTCGTTACTGTTTGTATGAGATAATATGGTTTGTTTTTTGTTTTCTGCTTCATTAAAATGTGCTTGAATATTGATCCTAGTAAAACAATCGTTAACAATTTAAAAGGCTGGCTTATTAATTGTATTAAAAACATTAAAACATATTTGAATTGACAATAAAAATGCACGCATCATCATTAACTTCGTAATAATTAACTAATTTCATAATTAATTTTAAGAACAATTATATTTCATAATTAATTTTAAGAACAATTATTGTTCTTAAAATTAATTATGAAATTAATTAATATGTAAACACAATAGGCATATTTCTATTTCAAAAATATAATAATTTTAATTTAAATAGTACCTCGTTTAAAAAAACATAAGAAAAGGATTGTTTACTATCCCTATAACATTTTTGAACATTAAATGGCCACATTATTTTATAACAACTGTTAAACAATCATAAGTTAAATTATAAAATTTTATTACCCTTGGTAATTAATAAAAGATAAGGCAATTCAAACGTATTCATTTATTGTTTAGCTTCTAACAAAACATATTTATAATGCTTTTTAATAAATAATAATAATAAATACAAAAAAACTTAATAAATACTGTTATTATAAATTTCTGATTATAGGTGCATAATATTTACACAATTTTTGACAAGTTTTTGGATATCCAACTTTTTCCATTCCCATGTTATTATTAACACATTCATTACCCAAGTAGCATTTATAGTGGTTAAAACGTGTTGGCCACTTATACATGGAACTGTATATTGCCAAAATCTCTGCCACGTGGTAGAAACGGTTCTATTACGTGGAAGTGACTAAAATGGGGAACACTTTTTTAGTGTCAGTTACTTTCCAACAACGTTCTTTAATTGTATACAGACACGTTACTACCACGTTGTGATTACGTTACTATAACGTGGAGGTATAGTGGCCAAAACTTAATCGCAACTTTACTAATCTAAAGCCTTTCTATTCCCGTCTCTTTCCAGCATATTATTTATCTTATTATCGTTGCTTTCTCTGACTCTGATATTAAACTAACACTGAATTATAATATTGTAAGTACAGCTTGCAAATAATAACTAGAATTAAAATAATCCAAAGACATAAAATTAACACGAATTCAATTTGACTGATAAACATGGGTTTCATAGCTTGAAATATAAGCACGCCCTGTTAAAATATGTAGTAATAAAAAAAAATAAAAGAATCTATTAACTTAGCGGATATGAAAATTATTTATCTAGAGGCCTAAAATATTTTTTTATTATTACTGGGCACCTGAAACCAATAAATATGTATCAACGTGTTAAATTCGGTGCGGTATTAACCAGAATTATTTGTTTTTAAACTACACATTTATTTCCCTACAATGGCAATTATTTGTAAACATGTCTGCTTTTGAAGAGAGTAACTTTAAAGTGGTAATTTTATACGAAACGTGGAAATCACTTAAGCATCTAGCAAGAACGTGGCAATCACCACCGCAATTTTATAATCAAGTTCCGAAAACGTTGCCAAAACTAATATACCCACTTTATAACTACTACCACTTCAAAGTAATACTTAAGTGATGTGATTTGGTTACAGTTACTATTCATTTCAAATACCAGACTAATACACCAAAAAGTTATAAAACTATAAAGTATATTCTGCTGGGGCAAATCACATGATTACAACTATGCTAATATAATATGGAGATATTTTAACTGTGGTAGATTTAGTTATTTAAACGTTATTGCCACTCATTTGAAGTGGTGATATCAGTTTTCGTCACTAAAATGCTACTTGGGTGTGCCAAAAAAACCTACTATTTTTTTTTACTTTGTACTCTGAAAAATTATAAAATTCATAAGCAAAACAGAAATTTCTCTTAAAATAATTAAACTTTAACCTTCGATATCTTTTAAACGGTGAGGTTTACGAAAAAATTGTAGGAGACCTTTTTTGTAGAGCGTTTGATTTCCTTAAAGAATATGAGGAGAGATATTTTTAACGATCAGTTGTCGAAGAGATATAAATTTTTGTTTCTTATACTGAGGAAAATTGTAAAGCGGAGAACCTTGTTATCAAAATTAAGAGCTCATGATTGGTGAGAATTCTCTAGATGTGTCTAGTAACCGATTTTTCAGAGTACAAAGTAAAAAAAAATAGTCGTTTTTTTTGACCCACCCTATTGGGTATAGCAACGTACATAGGTATATCCGGGGACTTTCGGGAGGTAACTAATCCCGGGATCAGTCCCGAAAAAATAGAAATCGGTCTTCGGTGAGTACCAATTAAGGCTGTAAGACTTCAAAAGATTTATCCCTCTGCCCGTATAATCTCCGCGATGGAAATGTTATCGCTATTTTTAGTTTTTTCCAATTAATCTTAACTTTTTACGGCCAGCCTTTCCATTTTGTCCTGGAACCATATTTTTAATTATGGGGTAGTTAAGAAAATACTGTCTATTTTTTAGCAGTGTTACAATTATTTGCTACTTGTATAACAGAAGTATGTAACAGAAACGAATAATTATAAATAATATATTTTAGGGCTAAATTTACAGCAATATTTTATTACCTGTTGTACGGCATTATTCGGTAAATAATAAAATATTTAACAATAATTACACTACTCTTTTCTAACAAGCAGGGCACCCGGGGGGATTACCTTATTTGAGTACGCTGAATCCATTGGAAAATAAATATTAAAAATTTAAAATGGTATTCAATCTGTATAATTTGGATTTTTTTAATGAAATTTTTTTTCGCAAACTTAAGTTCAATTCAATTGAATTTAAATTCTGCTTGGTTTTTATGTTAGCTCTTGTTTTCGATTACGATTTTTCGGTTTAGTGATTTTTTAGACATTTTGTATTTATAAATATTAT